GGGGCGGCACACAGAGGAACTCCCCGCCCCAGCTCACCTCTGCTCCGCCTCCTCCTCTGAGCTCACCACCCCGCTCTGCTTCTCTCCCTCCCAAGCTTGTGGCGCCAAACAGCTGATTGGCGCCGCAAGCCTGGGAGCCGGGAGAAGTGAAGCAGCGACGGTGTGCTCAGGGAGGAGGCATAGCAGAGGTGAGCTGGGGTGGGAAGCTGCCGCACGGCTCCCCGGGTGGGGGGTGCCTCGAGGGCGGGGGGGGGGGAAGCGTGGCCGGTGGGGGAGGCGCCTCGAGGGCGGGGGAGCTGCCACGAGGGAGGTGCCTCGAGGGCGGGGGGGGAAGCTGCCGCAGGGCTCGGGGAGGGGGTGGAGCAGAGGTGAGCTGGAGTGGGGAGCTGCCACACGGCTCCCCGGGCCGGGGGTGTGGGGAGCTGCCATGGGGGAGGCGCCTCAGGGTGGGCGGGGGCGGGGAGCTGCCGCAGGACTCAGGGAGGGGCGTGGGCGCAAGGTGGAAGTTTTGCCTAGGGCACGAAACATCCTTGCACCGGCCCTGTCTGAGCCCCTCAAGGTTAAGGAAGCTTAGATCCGAATTAAGGCCCTAGAATCTGAACCTCTTAACCTTTGGGAAAGTTCAGATTTGGCTCTGAACCAGAGAACTGGATCCAAAGTCTTAAGCTCTGGGGAAGGTCAGATTTGCTGTAAACCAGAAAATTGGATCCAAACCCTCTCAAGTTGACAGAAGTTTAGATCTTAATCAGAACTAGATCAGAACTTACTGCATTTTTTTAGAATTTCAGATCTGTATCCAAATTGGAAAAACAGATCCAACTTCCCTCAAGCACTCGGGAAGTTTGGATCTGGATAAGAACTGAAGAGCTGGATTTGATTCCCATCTAGCTTTGGGGATGTTCAGATCCTGGTCTGAAAAGGAGCCCCAAAAACAAACTATGAAAATTTGAATGAAGTTTGGATCTAGTTCAGAACCACAGTACCTGATCTGAACTCCCTCAAGCTTTCAGGGAGTTTGGAGTCACATATAAGCCAGAGAGCCGGGTCCAAACTTTCTCAAGATATGAAAGAGATTGCATCTTGAGCTGAACTGGAACTGAGCTTACTGAATCTTTGCAAAATTCAGCTCTGTATCTGAGGCCCCTCAAACTGTAGGGAAGCTGAGATCCGGATTTCAACTTCCTAGCTTGGGATCCTTCATAAGATGGATCCAAACTACCCCATCTTTCCAATCTGACACCTGCTGGGAACCTGGAAAAGTTCAGCTCTCGATCCAAACTTTGCAACACAGGCCCATCTCTACCAAATCTTAAAGCAAAAATCCACTAAAACTGTCCAGAGAAACCACAGGAAGATTCAAGAAGAATCTGTTAGTTATCTTCCCCAGGCAGAGGCAATTTGGAAGCTTTCCCTGCAGGCAGAGGCAACTAAGAGTATGTCTAAAATGGTGTCCCCGGGGGCGGAGGCAGTTGTGTGCCTCATGGTAATGGTGGTTGGCTGAAGGCAGAGACAGTTGGCAGATGTGGTGTATATCTCTCCCCTTTAGTAGAAATAGTTAGGACATGTGGGGGGCCCTGTAAGCAGTGGCAACTGAGGAGACAAAGATTCAGACTTTGCAGATCCCTGGGGCTAAAATCTGCTGCTATCAAACCACCACACAGCCCTGCAAATTCTGTCCCCTCCAGCAAACCTAACATGGAGAAGGAGCAAGCTATCTTGATTCACTAGTGTTAATATCACAGTCACGATTCACATGCATCTGAGAACAGGCAAGGTCTCCTTTCCTGACCACTGAGATCTCAGCCTGACTGAGGTACAACATAGAAACCATGGGCCTGATTTTCCACTATCTTGTAACTCATGCAGCTGGCTATTTAAACCTATCCAAATGAGGTTGTAAAACACTACCAGAGGTATATGTGAATGGAGGATTTTGATTGGTGATGTTTTGCAAATGTATAAATGATAGCACAAAATGC